TGAAAAATGTTAAGATTTCTGCTGCAAAGGATTGAGAAGAGTTCCTTATGATAGAGATGCCAGCACTGAAGCACACAAGCAGGGCGTGAAAATTCACAGCATGCGCCGTGAACAAGCGTGCCAACATGTGAAACTCAGAACTGTCTAGTTTTCAACATAAAGACGGTGATTCGTGAAATTCTGTGGACTTGGTTTTATAGGTTGTAGGGCAACTAGTCTAGGTTTCCGCTTGTGCCTTCCATTCCAAGGTCTGGCGCATACACACACTTCAACACATCTATAAAGCACTGCGAGCTCAACATCGCTCATCAAGAGCAACAACAAGATGAACACGAGTACTTCCAAGAACTGTTGCGGAAAGATGAACTAATGCATCGAGAACGAAACTGCTAGTACAGCTGCTGCTGTTGCTGCTGCTGCTCCTCCTCCTACTACTACTACTACTGCTGCTGCTGCTGCCGCTGCTGCTGCTACTAGTGCGACCAGTATACTATTACTACGACGACGACTATACTACTACTACTGCTAGTACTAGTGTTAATGCTAGTGCTAGTCCTAGTCCTCGTCCTAGTCCGAGTCGTCCTAGTCTTAGTCCTAGTCCCACTGCTACTCCTACTCCTACTCCCACTCCTACTCCTCCTCTACTACTACTACTACTGCTACTACTACTAGTGCTATACTGCTACTACTACGACTGCTACGACGACGACTACTACTATGTGCCCGAGACCAAAAGCCAAGTGTTCTCCTGTTTGCGTTACCAGTACTATGCACAACTCACCAAAAATCGACACATATAGCTATAGAGCTCAGGAAAACGCATAGGTCGGGGTTTCCGCCGGGCAGAAAGTAAGCTGTTGTGTGATGCTGCAGGGGGTTGGGGTTTACGGTTTTAGTGGATCTGTTGTGTTTTTCGACATTTGCGCAGGACCAACAACACACGATCACAATTCTGTTCGAAACCCATTTACAGCGTGCAACCTTCCAGACGTGCTTGTTTTTAAGGTCCATTTGAAATGGGCCTTAAAATAAGGCACATTTCTAAACGCACACGTACCTTATTTTAAGGCTCATGTCGTCCTCAATGCGGGCGGCGTTTTTGCGCAAACTGTGCGAGGTGGCACCCGCGCTCGTGCCCTTCGTACGTGTTTTTTACGGCCAGACCAATGGTGGGACGCTGACGGGGTCCGCCACGGCATACGCCAGGCAGAGGGCTGCGAACAGGGCGACCCCCTCGCCCCTGCCCTCTTCGCCCTTGGCCAGCACGAGGCGTTGCGCTGGGCAGACTCGCAGCTGCAGCAGGGTGAATCGCTCATGGCTTTCCTCGATGACCTGTACGTTCTCCTGCCTGAGCCCAGTCGTGCGCGAGCCGCCCTGGATCTGGTAACAGGAGCGGTCGAGACGCATGCGGGCATATCCGCCAACTTGGGCAAGACGCGTGTCTTCAACTACGAAGGTGGGCCGCCGCCGCCAGGGATCGCGGATCTGGGTTCCGAAGTCTGGCGCGGCAGCCGGCCCCCACAGCAGCATGGCTTCGTCGCACTCGGCAACCCCATTGGCACGCCAGACTACGTCCGCGCCTGGGGCGCCGAAAGACTCGAAGCGGAAGACGCGTTGCTGCGCCAGCTGCCTAAGTTGCCCGACCTGCAGTGCGCATGGCTCCTCCTCAGCTTCTGCGCCGCTCCCCGCGCTAACCACTCGCTCCGGACCGTCCCTCCCGACCTCAATGCGCCATATGCCGCCGCACATAACGCAGCCGTATGGGGCACCCTCCAGGCTTGTCTGGGCGCCACCGCGGGGGACGAGTCGTGCCCTGCAAGGGACATCGCTTTGCTCCCTGCCAGCCTGGGAGGTTTGGGACTGTCGCAAGCCACGCGCACCAGCCCCGCGGCGTACTGGGCGGCTTGGGCCGATGCCCTCACAGTGCTCCGCGAACGGTGCCCGGCCTTTACGGACTGGGCCGTCCGCTGCCTCGCTGACGCGCGTGGCCCAGCATGCCTTCGAACAGCTTCTGCGGCCCGTGGGCTGCTTGCAGCCGAAGGCTGGACGGACGTGCCTTCCTGGGAGTGCGTGGTTCAGGGAGCTCGCCCACCCGACCGACCTGACGGGATCGCCGAGCCCGGTGAATGGAGGCATGGGTGGCAACACTCTGCGTCGCGTACACGTAACCTTTTCTTCCGCGACCACGTGCTGCTGCCTTCTCTGCCACCTCCTCACCGCGCGCTCTTGCGTTCCCAGGCCGGTCCGCATGCCGGTGCATGGCTGCAAGCAATCCCCAGCGATTCCCACACGTCGCTCACGCCCGAGGCCATGCAGATCGCGTTGCGTCGCAGGCTCCGGCTTCCACTCCCGCTCGCGCCTGGCCGTTGCGGGAGCGCTTCGGAACCTGGGCGCGGCCACCGTGCAGATGGCCTTGGAGACCATGCACTCGCGTGCCCTCGTACTGGCCTCCGAGCGAAACTTGTTGAGCGGGCCTGGTGCAAGGTTGCACGGGAAGCCGTGGGGCCTGAGGGACACGTAGTGCCCCAACAATGGCTCGTCAACACCACTGCGCTGGGCGTCGCGCCCGACGACCGCAGGCGCCTCGACCTCGTCATCTACGGCGCCGCGCCACTGGGTGGTGCGCTCTGCTGCGATGCGACCCTAGTTTCGCCTCTCACGCGCGACGGCGAACCCCACCCAGGCGCGGCCGCACAGGATGGAGCGGTTCTGCGCACCGCCTACCGGCGCAAACAAGCCACCTACCCCGAGCTCGCGGCAGGTGGCGCACAAGCCCTCTGCGTGCTCGGCTGCGAAGTGGGTGGGCGGTGGAACGCTGACGCAGTGAAGCTGGTCCAACGCCTCGTCGCACTCCGTGCGTACCGAGCCCCGCCTGCGTTGCGAGCCTCCGCAAAGACAGCCTGGGCCCGCCGTTGGTGGAGCGTGCTCTCCGTAGCGGTTCAGCAGGCCGTTGGTCACACGGCGTTAGGGCGCGCCCGGGCCATGCCGGGACCGGCACACACCGATGCGCCGGCCCTGGATGAAGTCCTCCACCCCAGACGGGCCGAGCCGCCTGCCGCTGCGCTGAACCGGCCCTAACTCGGGACCGTAACCGTACTCCACTAGGAGCGGGACCTTCCTACTGACGGAAAAAGGCGCGTAAAAAAAAAAAGAACTGCAACCTCCCGCGGGATCGGCTCGCGTGCTGTGGCCTCATCGCCAGGCGCGAGTTCGGCGACAATCAGCAAATGGCGGGCACGTGAGAGCTCGCCTGGGGGTGCACGCGCGCAGGCCGCTTCTTTCCAGCGCGAGGTGGTTGCTTCCGTATCACAGTCGGTCGCAGGCCTGAGCGGCGTGCGTGTGGCGTGTTCGGCCGCAAGGAGCGCGGGCCCTGTTGCAGTCGCATCAGCCGGCCGTGCAGGGAGCATGCGGGGTGTCAGCAAGAACAGCTTCTACACCCGCGTTCGGATGCTATCATCGGGCGGTCCGTTGTAGGCATCCCAGAGGTGTTGGAGGACGCATGCCAGTGCACGGCGCAGGCCAGCTCGCACAAAGACAGGCGCTGTATGCAGCATCGGCACGGGGGGCCGAAGCTCGTCGAGGAGGTGGATGTGTTCCATGCCGCGATCAGGGTGAGAGCCTTCGGATTGGGCACCAAATGCATCCGCTATATAGGGTTGCAGCTACTGTGTGGTTGTCGAGCGTTTCTAGCAGTGCGGGCTGGGCCAATGCGGGGATGTACACGGCGCAACCTAAACTCGGTTTCGGCTTCCGCCACAACGATTCTTCTGCAAGCTCTCCTGGTACTCCTTCTTCTGGCGATCGAGCTTGGTTTGGAGAGTCGCCTTTTCCATGATGATGGCGCGCAGCCTCTGCGCTCCTGCCTTGAAGTTCCAGGAGGCCTCAGTCAGCGGCTGTGAGTTTGGACCGGCGCTCGCCGCAACCACGAGTTTCTGCAGCGTGCTTCGGGCACGCGGCCGTTTCGACAGCTCGCACATCGCATTCAAGCGGAGGAGGGCCGTACTGGCAGAAAAGAGCCGGCGTCGTGTGGTCAGGCACTGTTGCCTTTCGGCTCCATCTGGGCGGGAGCGTGCAGTGCGCGCAGTTAATATTGACACTACGTTTCGGGCGGGTCAAACCGTCTCGATGCAAGCAATTTAACTTGAGTGAGCGGGTCCCTTGCAGCAACGCCGCCTTGACAGCTTGTTGCTTGCCAGTCGTTCGCCTGCACGTGGATGGTGTTGAAATGTTGTGGCGCTTGGTTGTGTTGTGGTCGTGTGTGCCCAGCACCCCAGCATCGCAGCCTGTCCCGACGGCCTGTCGTACGCTTGGCTGGCAGTACCAGCCAAGAAGCACGAAAAAAACATCGGAATTGCAAGCAAGCTCGAAGAGGGCCTGCTTTCCTTACATGATGCCCAACTCGCTGTGGATGCCACAATCATGGCTTCTGAAAACCCAACGGTTTGCCGCATCCAGGCATTTCACTCACCCGCGCACAGCGAAGGAAAAGACTGTCCTTCGCGCTGGCCGTTGCCGACTCGTCGTGTTCGGCATGGAGCCAGGGGGTGTTGGAGCCCTGAGTGCGTCCAGTCGCCAGGCTGCGAGAGCTGCTGGGTGCAGACATGGAGCGGTATGTGGCGGCCCCGCGTGCAGCTGCAGCATCCCTCCTCGACCTCCCTGCCGACTCCAAACCCGGTGCTGCTGGCAAGCAGCCTGCTTTGCGCGAGGTCTTTGCTGATGCGTTTGCTTTCGGCCCCGGTGCCCAGTCGCCTACCGGCTGGACTCGCTGGAGCCTTTGTGTTGCACTCGCCGTGTTGGCCCCCGCAGTTGCCTGCAACTTCGTGCGCCGGGGCCCGCTTCGACTTCTGGGAAAAGGTGCGTCGCAAGACATAGGGGATGTGTTTGCCATGTGTGACGCATGTTCGGAGTGAGCTTTGAAATGGAAGTGAAGAAGCAGGCTCGAATCATGAAGAGACCGGGCTCGATGTTCCAAGAATCGCGGCACAATTGGAGTTGGACAGATGTGCTTCAGAGATGGATTCAATTCGAAACATCACCAGCCATGGCAAATTATCAGTGCTGCCACCACGACGGGGTTTGTGAAGGCTCTCGTCGAAGGTTGGCAACATGTTTGTGATTCGAGCGCTCCCGAAATTGATATTTGCAACCCTATCGTTTTTGTTTCTTCCAAGCTGTGTAAGTAATGCGAGGTTCAGATCCAAGTCGGCAAGGAGTTGTGCAGTGTGTACTGGGGTTGGGGATTGGCCGATAAGATTGGGCTTCCAGTTTCACTTTGCAGAAAGTTTTGTCGAAGTCGTCAATGGTGCAGTGCGGCTGTAATTTTCGCCAGGCATTCCTATTTTGTTGTGATGTGGTCGTTATGGGGTCGTTCGGAATAGCCTGGCCAAGGACACACCGGCAGCTTGCGAGCTGCGTTGCCATGGTCCCGTGCAGTTGGGCTTTGTTGTGAACCATTCCGGACAAATCACACGGGTGACTACAGGCAGGGTGGCCGTCGCAGTTTGGGTGGGCCAAACCTCGGAGTCATTGGAACACCACAATCGGATGAGTTTATGTCGAACGCTTATGTCGCAGGCACATGGGCCGCCGAAAATGGTTTGGAAGCTGGCGACGAGGAAACGTGGAGCAGATGATGTGTTGATCGTACAGGTGTTGTTTTTGTGCGGCCTCGCAGGTACTAGCCATCGATGGTCGTTCCTGGGACGACTTTTCGACAACGGTGACGCGTGAAGATTTGTCAAATCTCCGGGGACCCCGGCGGTTGGTCGTGCTGCTTGATTTATGGTTGCCCACGTTGTTTCATAGAACTCGTTCTTGTATAACTTATACATCACAGTCTACTCTTCGAGATGAAACTGGCAGAAGCGTTGACGCAAGGCGCGCATGGGCAACAGCACTGGATTTACAGGAAGCAGTGCGTCGATCAGTGGCATCCTCATTGGGCGAAGCACGCGGACATTTCAGGCAGGGGAGTTGACTCGACTCGGTGTTCCAGCCAATTTCGAAAGACTTCTCGGAAAACTTTCAGATATTTTCAGATCATGGCAGTGCCGGGTGTTGCGGCATTGCATTGCGCATGCAATCGGTTCTCAGTCGTCATCATGCCACATAGACCCTGTGAATTACTTAAATGCTGGCACCAGCACGTGGCTGCAGGGAGGCACTGCAAGATGAGCGTCGGCGGTTTGCTTTCCGCGAGGCGCTTCAGGCCGGGCAGGAAGAGATAGACGAGACGGTTCGCCAAAAAACATACCGTCTCCCACATGTTTTTTTGGCTGTGTTATAGACATTGTGCGCAAGCCAGGTTTGGCTCCAGAGGTGAAAGGGTGAGCCAGCAGTAGGTGACTCGCCATAAATAGTTTCCAGACGCTTAGCTTGCGCGATGCTGCAATTCCACCGTCCAGATCCTGCCATGGTTAGTGGGCTGACGGCCCTTGCTTTGGTTGTTAAAGAAGTCTGGGAGCTGGTGTCGGGCGTGGAAGGTGCACTGGATGGGAAGAGCATCTGCTGCATTTGCATCCTTGTTTTCGTTCGGTGGGGCATGCTTGCCCAAGCACGAGAGATAGAGAAGCAACGTCTGGAACAGATGCAAAAGGAGGACTAGCCACGGTGTGGCTGCCGTTTCATCAGCTACAGGGAGGCGACGGGTGAAGACATGCAGGGCGGTGACGCCGCAGTGGACAACGCCAGACGTCCTGCAGCATGGTGTCCCAAGCAGATGCGAGCTCGCACTGTCTCGAGAGACAACGCCGGCCGAGATTTTCGGGGCGTGTCTTGAATTGAGACCTGCCCGAGTTACCCCGAAGGAGTAGCAGCGAGGCTTCAAAAGTCTGTTGATTTCAGTGCTTCTTTGTCAGAGAAGAATCATCGTCTTCAAATTATGGCATCCATGGTGTCGCCATTCTGTTTTTGACGGAGTTGGATGGGAGAGGTGGGCTCAGAGGCACACGAGGTCAGATCGAGTTTTCAAGCATCTGCAGCCGCCAGGCCCAATTGGCGCACTGGCGTCCAAGAGAAACATGGATGCTAGGCTTTCTTTATTCTTCACAAAGTTTACATCAGTGTGTGTGCGTGTGTGTGTCTGGTGTTTGCGCCTCCGGACCTGCAAGCGGCTAGAGCACATCATTGTCGAAACTTGATAAGGCCATTCCCGGCTCTTCCGAAGGATGCAGTCGACACAGCCGCAGAAGTTGGATCCGTGGCACAATTTGTTTCAAAGGTTCGCTTTGTGGGCATAGCAGATCTCCAAGCTTCCATTTTGCTGATCCTCCTTGACTTCACTTCCCACTCGTGCAAGCGAAACAGGCATGCAAACGGACATCATCACTCGCGGGGGGAGTCGGGAGGTCACGGAGCAATCCTCAATCGTGTTATCTCGGCTTGTCAGTGCCATCGGAGGCTTGTGGCAAAGGCATTGCAGAGCCCTTGCTTCGCTTTGCGTTTCCAGGCGAACTCGTGGGTGCTGGCACGCAAGCGCAGCTGCCACGAGTCACCAAGCTGGAGGCCGCTGCACGCAGGATCCAAGCAAGGCCGCTCAGTCAAAAGCTTTCTCAGAGCCGGATCTTCAGATATCTTCAACTATCTGCAAAATCTCCTGCTGCTGCTGTACCTGCCAACTCAGATCAACCCTTCATTCAGGTTTGCCTTGCCAAGTGCCACCCCAGTGCTGTGCGAGGTACCGCTGGATGAAGCTGTGGCGGCAGCTGGACACAGCACGTGAGCGTGAGGTCCTATGTTGGAGTCCTTTACCCGACTACGTTCGCATGGGATGTCCTGGTCATGTGTTGATGCACGGGTGGTTGAGAAATCCCTGCGAGGCCGCAGCAACGAAGATCCAGGCCGCTTCCCAGATTTCAAAGGATCCAAGACTGCTCCCAGATCCGAGCTGCAACTCGATGATGCCAGTGTTGGGAGGCCATGCAACGTGGCCGGCAAGCACGTCGCGGTCTTGCCGCACAGTTCGCAGCGTCAGCGGCCGGAATGGAGGTGCTGCGTTTTGAGTGTTGGAAGTTGGCAGAATAAGCGAAAAAGACATCCGAACATGCGCCATCACGAGGCTGAGAGTCTTTTGCTTCGGGTGACAGCGGTTCACAGGGTTAGCAGCAGCGTTATTATTTGCGCCCCATTGCCAGATCTTCGAGTCTGACAGCGATCCGCAAGAGCCTTCGGAGGGTGAAGCAGGGAGCAGTGAACGCGAAGTTGAAAGTCCGGTGGCAGTACCGAGTGCAACGAGCAAAGCAGCAGAGCCAGCGGTGAAGATCCAGAAGAACTTGGGTGAAAGATAGTAATCTCTGTGCAAGCATGTTTTCATGCTTGCTGTTGCAGGTTTGGTGCTGTTGTAGGTTTTTGTTGATGGTGGTGCTAGTGCTGCTGTGTCTCCCAGACATGTGTCCCAATAGAACGATACGGAACAGCTCAGAACCTCGGCCCATGTGGCCTCGCGCGTGACCGCGGGCGCAGACACTGGCTTGGACGACTGTGCAGATACCGGCACTCACGACTTCTTCGGACAGAGCGCGGCTCTGCAACCGCTGGAAAAGCCCAACCAAAAAGAGCGGCCAGCCGGGATTAGAGCACCTTAGCTGGCAAAAGAGAAGCGTTGGACTTCCGCGTTAGAAGTGACTGGTGCAGCCGCCATATTGTGTACATGTCGGGAGGTGCTTGCAAACCCAGAATCAAAAATTTCAACGAGCAAGGTTCAGAAGTACCCAATCTCGGGCAGCTCGTCGCCGCCGACGCCCCAGCAGCCACCGCTGAGCATGGCCTTGACGGCCATGTCTCTTGATGGACCGTGGCCTGGCGGGAATTGGCGCTGGACGGCAGCGGACGGCTGGACGGGGGGGCACATTTTTTTCTCTGTGAACGTAAGAATGTTTTATAGGGCGGTCAGAGTGTAGAGCAGAGGTCGGCCTCGGGCACAGACCCGGCCCTGGTGGCCGCGGCCGTCCGAATTCAGGCGGCAGAACGGGGGCGCCAGGCCCGCAAGCGTGCAAGGAAGATGGCCGCGGAGTTCCTGGAGCCGGCTCCAGCCCTGCTGGAGCCGAAGCTGTTGGCAACGGAGGAAAACCACGCAGAGGAAGCTTTGGTCTGCGTCTCTGTCACGAATCAGCGACTCGGACTGGCACAGAGTTCAGCATAGACCCGTGCCAATTTTCTTGTTCGGTCTTTGTCGGATTCCATCACGTGTTGCACGTGTGTGCCCAAATTATGTGCAGTGGTTGGCTTGATGTGACTTTGCGGTTCCTTGTCTCATCCTGATTCCGTGTGTGTGCTTGTGTGTTTTGTTTTGTCGGTCAGTATTGGATCAGCAGAGCAACATTTTTTTGTCTCTTTGTTTCGGGTTTGCGGCGAAAGGCCCATCGCGGAAGCTAGTCTATTCGCATTTCTCGAATCCCCATCAGGCCTGTCGCCGCGTCGATCGTTGTTGCGCTGTGTTGCTTATGCCATCTGTTTTTGCTTTGCACAGGATCACCAAGGCAGCTGCGCATCACCTTCCTTCGTGCTCTTTACGATCTGCTTGAAGCATCTAGTTCTTGATGTGCAAACCGAGGGTTCTAACGGTTCCTGATGGTTCTTTTCCGGACTTCGCTTTTGCAGAAAATGCATGTGGTGCCTGCGAGTCGAGAGGATGCTGGTGCTGTTTCAGGGGTTTCTCTGTGCGAGTTGGCGATCCGCCGAAGTCGGACGCGGTCGTCAGGTTTGAGCATGAAGACGAGCCAGGCGATTGGCACAAGGACACCGCGCACAGCTCGGCTTCGGATGGCTTCAGGATTCTTGTGCTGGGGATTGAACATTTGAACAGTACTGGCTATGGCTTCGAGGCCTTAGACGTTGCTGGTGTGCGAGCAATTCTGCATGTTCTGATGGGTCTCCTAATGCCAGAGGCGTCAAGTCATGGCACGTTAGAAGGGGTTGTACTAGCAGATGATGTGCATGCTGGCATTGTGGTTGAGGGGGAGGGACTGACTGGAAGGCAGCCCCCCTGCAGTCTGGTGAGACTCTCGGCTTCGTGGCGACAAGTCCGCAACCTGGCAAGAACCAAGATTCAGAGAGGGAAAGGCGGAACAAGAACGGAAAGATGCTGGCATCATCATGTCAAGCCTGTTGTAGTGTCCCACCCTGCAGTCCCCTACCCTGCTTGCTGCGCCGTCCTGTTCCATCGAAACCGTCCCACCCAGCGACACGATGTGCCGGTGCTCATGTGCCCCCAAGCAGAAGCAGTGACGGCTGTGAGCTCCGGGTTTGGTTTGGCGCTCGGCTTGGGTTGTACAAGATATGGGCATTGCAATGTGTTATCGGGGAATGCGCCCCTGATGCCACGCCTTATCCTTACCCGGTAAAGCTTGCAGAAACGGGAATGGGAGCTTACAGTAATTCTGACACCCGATCCACCCAAGAATGGTCGCGAACACTTCGGGACCTCCTTGCAGATGCGCGTGCATGCCCACATGCATACATGCACGCATACATACATACACGGACGCATACTCGGCAAATGCATAGACACATCCATTCCAAAGCATGCACTGTTACATGCATAGATGCATGCATGGGAACATGCATAGATACAGACATAGACACATGCCTAGATGCATACGCCTACATGCCTATATATATATATGTATGTATGTATGTATGTATGTATGTATGTATGTATGTATTGCCGCTGCTGCGGCTGCTACTGTCACCGACAAGCTTCTCTCATGGAGGGCACGTAATTAGTCGCAGTGGCCGGCGATTGTAGTGTCAGGTCGCTTGGACGTTCACCAATTTGGTACATGACGTGTACACACACTTCGCGGCTAGGTATGTTTCGGAGGGAGAGTTGGCTGTTCTTTACCTCGCAGCTTGGGCAGGGCGAGGGAAAATGTATGTACACTGTATATACATATATAGAGCTACACAAGCATCTCGGCTCATCCAAAGGATTGCCCGCGGCCACTGTGCCGTCGTCGTAGTGTGGTCTTCTCTCTTTTGGGTTTGTGTTTGGGGCGGGGTTGCGTGTTCGTACTGGGTTCTTAGGGCGGATGCCCCCATGGATCCTGCAACTGCTATGGCTCTGTGTCAGCCTCACGGCAGCAACAAGATCCCGCGGGCAGCTTGGTGGACATTTTCTGATTTACTGCATAAACGCATTACTGATTTGGCTATGGAACACGTCTGCATCAAGTGGCGTTCGTTACCTCCTGCCTCCAAGATTGCATTGCAGAATCTTTATGGATCTAGCTGGCTCCGAGACAGTCCGTACCAAATCTGGATGGACGCATGGCAACTGCTGCCCCCGAACCAGAGACCTCTTTATATACATGAGACATGCCATATCGATGCTGACTTTGCCTATGCTACTATGGTCAACACTGCATATGCAGCACGCATTGGTCGTGTTGAGGACCTGGAAGCAATGGATTGATTTTCTTATTCCATGGACTTTTCAGGATGTGCTGAGGACCCTGGAAGGTGCGAGGCGACACTGGAGACGGGGCTTCCCTCGGCCTAGACTGGCGGACTGCTGGGTGCTGCTGGCACTTTTTGGTTTCTGGCTTCTGCATGTGTGCCACTTGGTTGCCGCAGCACTGTGCAACTGTAAAGTTTGTCAGTTGCTCATGCAAACGCTTCTCCGACTGCAGTGCTTTCTTCCCACTGCCTTTCTGGCTCATAACCTCCTAGCCTGCCTGGCATCGGCTCCTAGCTTGTGGCCCTTGGTCCTTCGTATGGAGGCCGGCGCCGCCGACATCATCCACCGGATTCGCCCGACTCAGGCGCCTGTTGCTTGGCCCGTGTGCGTGAGCAGTGGAATAACCGGGTTTTCGGCTTTCGAGGGTTCCCCACGAGCAATCCTGTCTTCTTCCCGGCGGGGTCTCCACCTCCACCTGGGGCTGATCTCCTGTCGATACTCCAGAGCACAGACTCTGTTGACAGACACTGAGCCTTGCACTGCTGGCGACGGCCTGCTGGCAGCCTCTCTGGATTTGGACCAAGCCCTTGAGTCAGTGCAGCCGCTGGGGGAGGGGGCATACCAGCCCACGGAACAGGAGTTGGCTGTGGCGATCCTCTCTGCACCACTTCTCGCTTTCCCCACTGCAGTGGATAGTGGAAGGCCACCAGCGTTGGCGGAGCAAGCTGAGCAGGCTGAGCCCATGGAGGCCATGGAATCCGAGATGGAAGATGAGGCTGACGACCCGGTTCTGGGCGACGCTCTGGATGACATGGGCTCCAGCGGAGCTGCTGCGGAGGAGAGCTTTATGCCCCTCCTTGCCTCGGACGCTGAATTCAGCTCCACGTCTGATTTTACAGATAGCAGTGTCTCTGCGGCGCCGTAGCACAGCTGATCTTCGTGGCATGCTGTCAGATTTTCCTGCTCGCATCGGGCTACTGCCTCCTCTGAAAAACCGACCTTTGCACTGGCTGCTGTTGGTGGTTAACTTGACCTACCTGCACTACCGGCTCGTGCTCTATGGCTGCCAGGTGCTCTACCTCCTCATGACTGCATCCCTGGAGGGTGGCACTCTCAGCTTTTATCATTGTCGCCTTGCACAGCAATGGTGCCTTCGATCGATCAATGGCCCAGATTTACACACTACGACCTCGGCAACTTTGACTGCTCGAGGAAGCCGCGTGGGTCCCAAGTCCTACGGTAGTTGTCGCCAGTCCCCCTGCAGCGCTAAACTTCCCTCCCTAATCTGGCTGCTTGTCCTTCTTTCTTGCTTCATTTGTGGCAGAGCGACACCTACAGATGCGAGGGTTGCACCTGTAGTCCTGGCGGGTGCTGAAGCCTTGGACTCCGTCCAAGATGAAGCTCAAGGACAAACCGCGTTCCATGTTGATCGCCATCCATATGTTTCACCACAAGGCCTGCAACGATCTTCACCGTCCAGACATGCTATATATGTCCGCAAACGAGCCTTTGCCCGTGCAGTGCAACGTGCTTCTCAGGCTCCCGATGGCAGTACCACTTACCGAGGACGCCGGGTGGTACTCAGAGGCCAGAATCATCTGATCCGAGCTGCTCCACAACGACCTCCTGCATCTTCCACAGGAACACCAGGGCGCCGCTCTGCGAGAGCTCGACTTCGGCTGCTCACGCTCAACGTGGGGGGCCTGGACAGCACCACTTATGATACGTTCATGCAGTGGCTTCCCCAGGCTCCTTACGATGTTGTCTGCCTGCAAGAGATCCATCATGGCCTAGGGAAGGAATCCACACAGTGGCGGTCCACTGGCTGGAACTTCATTACCTCAGTTGATCCCAAGATTCGCTTCCAAGGTGTGGCTATTCTGCTACGGGAGACCCTTTGCCTCACAGGCGAAGTTCATTTTCAGGAAGTTCACACTGGCCGATTATTACATGTACGGCTGGCTCAGGACCTGCACGCCATAGACATTGTCTGTGGGTACCAGTTCGCGCTGCACCAGGAGGCCGACAACAATAATCTCCAGCGTCGACTTGGGGCCTTGCTACACAACTTGCCCCAACGTAACCTCCTCATACTTGCGGGTGACATGAACTGCACGCCTGAGTTTGTTGAGGGCTCCATGGGACATTCCTACGATGCCTCCACGAAGTACCCAGGCTCTGGAGAGTTCGCGGCCCTGCTGGAGGCCCACGGTCTCGTCCTGCTCAATGGCTGGATTCGCCAGCGTCTGCAGCCCACCTTCGTAGGTGCCAAACACAAATCGGTGATCGACTTTATCATCACTCGCAGGCAACATGCAGATGCACTGGCCAGGCGGGCTAAGCCTTGCCCGGAGCACAACTTTAGTCCGTGGCGTATGGGGGGCAGGCACTATGCTGTGGTCACAAGTCTTCCTCTACATCCAGGCTGGACTCGTCAGTCACCTAGGGCTCCCCAAGTCCAGACTAAGTACAATAAGCACGAGCTTGATCAAGAAGCTCGAGAGGGTGGACCACGGATGCTCCAGCTTCGACAGGATCTCCAACAGTACATTGCTCAGACCGATTCCCCTACACTGGAACAAGTCAATGAATTCCTGCTACAACAGGTTATTGCTGCTTTTCCGCACAAGCATGCATCGCCAGCTGCTTCTTCCAAACCACCGTCATTTTGTAGAGCTGCTCCAGGATTCCCTCCTGCTCCTTGGTAGCCTGAGGATCCGCAACCTCCAGCGTCAGGATAAAATCGGTTTCCGTCCGATGCTGGCTCAGTTCGTCCTCGTGTCACATAACTATGCGAGACAGGAGGCGAACGTCCTCCTTCAGGGCATCCAGCTCCTTCTGCAGCTCCTTGGTGGTCTTGTTCTTGTTCCACCCGGCTGGGAGGTCTGAGTCTGCCAGTCCGCCCAGTCCTGATCCGTCCACTGGCGAGCACGGCCTTGCTTGGTTTGCCCAGCCGTCGAGGCCGAGGCAGGCTCTGGGGCTCCGGTCGCCGGGGCTGTCTCTCGAACCGGACTCTTGCCAGGTGAGGAAACATGTCCTGAACTTGTGCCAGGGCATCGGCGCCGCTCTGGGAGGCCATGACCACCAAGGTGTGGCAGAGGAACTGCAAGGGCCTGCAATCGAGAGTGCCGTAGAAGACAAAGCTGATAAAGTACTCGGCATCTATGCTTGGTTTTGTGTAAGGGCCGAGCTCCACAGGCACCACAAGGGCGTTGTTGCCCTTCCCGCAGCGTCAAGCTATGAGCCACCGCGTCTGGTTTGAAGCGCACAATCTCCGGGTGCAATGAAAACATGTGCTTGTTGAGAGCACCAGGTGCAGAAGAGACCCACTGTGCACACAAAATGCAATGATTGCAAAGCTAAAGCTGGTCACGAACCCCTTCTAGCCAAAGCGCATGCTTCCATTCACTGGTATCAATGAGTCGCAAGAAATCGTCTCGTTCCGCAATGGGGACAAAGGTCTCTGGCTCTACAGAAGGTTCAGGCCCTGCAGCGGGCTGCAAAGCAGGCTCTGAAGTCCCGAGCTCCGCAGTGTCCTGCAAAGCAAGCTCGGAAGTAGTGCCAGCCAAGCCGGCGTGCAGAACTGGGCAGCTAGCCACTATATGCAAACGAAAGTTATGCCAGTTAT